CCAACCTGAGAGCGATGGCCTCCAACCTAAGAGCGATGGCCTCCAACGCAAGAGCGAGGGCCTCCACCTAAGAGTCATGGCCTCCACCTAAGAGTCATGGCCTCTATCGTGAACATTTTCTCTGTGGTTTGCGACCTGATTGATTTTGGCCAGTGTGGTTTGCGCCAGGAGTTCGACATCAATGGCACTCCACAGAAGGTTTCACAGGGTGATGGCGTGGTGATCCAAACCACTTCCTGGGATGATGAAGAGGAGTGTTCAGCAGGTTTGTTCCCAATGTCACGTCTCCAAGAAACATGTGCAAGAAAGGGAGCAAGCAGATGGCAAGGATATACCGTGTGACACCGTATGACACATTCCGGTTGACATTCGTAACACATCTGACAAGGGCCAGGATCCCCTAGTAGCGTCCTTGCTCCTAGTAGTAAGGCCAGGAGCCCCTAGTAGCTTCTTGTTCCTAGTAGTAAGATCTTTGGATTTGCCCTTCCGGTTGACATTCGTAACTCCGCCTTGAATGTTTGCTCGGAGAAGGTCGTCCCATGAGCAAAGAGGTCGCAAAGAGGCGTGGACCCTAAGCCACTTCTCCCACATTGCATCGTAGGAGGGCGTGCTCCTCTTTGAAACGAAGGACTTGTTAGGTGCCTTGGCTTTGAGTGGCGAGGCATAGGCATAGATGGATGAGGACACGTTGACCGACCTCGGTTTGAGTTGAAGGTAGTGCAAGTGGTTCAGAACTAAATCTCTAACATGCTTGCTCCAATGTTGAATAGATGCAACTGCAAATTGGGAGCAAGGACGCTACTAGGGGCTTCCAAGCCAGTTCCACCCGTTGATTCAGCTTCTTCGCACTTGTGAACTCTGTGGAGCAAGCACAAGTGGAGATTGCCCACTCAAACACGCCGGAAGTCCGCATGGAGCGCTACCCAGGTTGCGATCCCAATTCATGGACCCATTGCCGTCAATATCTTCAAGGAGAGGGAGCTCTCAAGCTTCTGGAGCGAAGAGCAATCGGGTGCAGATCTTCTCGAGCCTGGTGCTTTTTCCAAGAGTATATATATATATACTAGGAACAAGTGCCACGCTACTAGGAACAAGTGCATCGCTAGTAGGAACAAGTGCCTTACTAATAGTAACAAGAACGCTATGTTCGGAACACAGGGCATCGCTACGTTCGGAGCGATCGGACACGACGAACGGGCGCTCCTTGGCCCTACGTAACGTTCGGAACCAGGTTCGCTACGTTCGGAGCGGCATCGCGATCGGAACGGAACAAGGCACTTGTTTCTAATAGCTTCTTGTTACTACTAGTAAGGCACTTGTTACTAGTAGCGATGCACTTGTTCCTAGTAGCTTCTTGCCCCTAGTAGCTTCTTGTTCCTAGTAGCGTCCTTGTTACTACTAGTAAGGCACCTGTTACTACTAGCGTGGCACTTGTTCCTAGTAGCGATGCCCTTTGTACCTGATGTTTCGAGGTGAAAGGAAACGGTCTGCCTTTGACCGAAGGGAAGAATTCCCATCGGCCCGGCCTTCAATCAAGTAGACGCCTACTTCAAGTAAGGCTAGTAGCTTAAGTCAGCTTGCACTATTCATTTGGTTCCGAGCTTCTTCTTCCATAACAATAAGCTACTAGTAACAAGTGCATCGCTTCTAGTAACAAGTGCCTTACTAGTAGTAACAATGCTTGCTATTAGAAACAATTTAATTCCGAGATTCTTCTTCCCTAAGCGATTCCCAAAGAAGCTTCCCCCACGCAGGAGAGGAACTGGTCATCGAGGTTCGTGGAGCCCGTGGACATCGTGCGGTTTGGACCTATCACCGCGCCCTCTCGTGAGGGCGTGCTCCTCTTGTTGTTGTGATGTTCGTTGCTGAACAAAGGTCCACTTCAGGATTGAAAACAACATTGGAGGCCAAGTTGTTGGGACCAGGTGTTTTCAGCTGTTGATTTGCACTGAAGTGCCTGCCGCGCCTGCGCAGAAAGATGCATCTCCAGGGCTATCCAGGGCTGTGACAGGAAGACTCCAGGATTCGTCTCTAGAGATGGAGCCCTGCAAGGTAAAAGCACCATGCAAAGCATGTCAAAGAGTCTAAAACCTGCAGTAGCTTCTTCTTACTAGTAGCGTCCTCTTGCTCCTAGTAAGGCCAGGAGCGCCCCTAGTAGCGTCCGATCGCTCCGAACGTAGCGATGCCCTTTGTTACTAGGAGCTGCAAGAAGCTAGTAGTAAACCTGCAGGATGTTTGGGGCCGATTTCTTGGGTCGCCAGTTGCCTGTGCGCCTTTAGATTTCAAGAGGAAACGTGAAGTGAAACAGAGGGGATGAGAAAAGATGGTGTGATCCTTCAACCGCTGACACCGGGTCCGACTAAAATCTGAGCTTCAAGAAAGGAATAACTGAATAACAAGCAAGGGAGTGATATTCTTAGCTTGGTTGCTCTTGCACCTTCTTTTAGCTGAAAAGAACCCTGTCCTGGTGTTCCAATCACGGCTTTTCTACCCCTATTCAACTCAAAACACCTTCTCGTCGTGACGAGTTCTTCTTCCATAACAATAAGCTACTAGTAACAAGTGCATCGCTTCTAGTAACAAGGGCGCTAGTAAGAACAAGAAGCTATTAGAAACAAGTGCCACGCTACTAGTAACAAGTGCCTTATTAGTAGTAACAAGAAGCTATTAGAAACAAGTGCCACGCTAGTAGTAA